AAACAGAACAAAAAAGATACTTCAGCTCGAATTTTGGCTTGCCATCTCTTTTCCTCCTATAGGCAGAGAGATGAGAAAAAAGTGGGGAGATGAAAATAAAAAACTTTTTAATTTGAATTTAAATGAATCATTGACTTAAATGGAATTTATACAAAATTGAAGTTATCGGTCTTTGATCAACAGATGATTTGGAACGATTTGCCTCCATCTTCAACAGTGTTATATTAGAAGAAATCACTCGTTCGTGTCATGCATCTTTCCGTATGGCACGATCACATCACTGACTTGCCATCATTAACAACTAACTCGTGAAGGGCATTATTTCTCATTCTCTTCGCTCATTCATTCATCTTGGTACACATGCTCAGCTATTCGCAAAATACTACAATCCCACTCCTACCCGTTATCAAAAATATTTCTGTAAATAATGCTTTTATTTCAAAAGAAAAAATTTCATCCACTTTCAACTTAAAATCAAGTATCAAGTAAATAGCAAAAGAAATGGTAGTTTTTTTTTTTTTTTAAAAAGGTAAGGAAATAACCACTGTTAAAAAAAACACAAGAAACAAAGTAACTGAACAAAATTATCGCCAGAATGTGAACATCAAACTACTGATGAGACGTGCGCTTCAAAAAAGCTGCAAATGTTGATAATAAATTCGTCAAATATCATTGAATCAGATGAAAAGAGTCAAAAAAATTGCTTATAAATTAACAAAGTGAATAGAGGTAATTCAATGAGATGCTTGAAAAATGAACATTATCTTTGATGGCAAAAGACCGAAGGTTTTCATTTAAACTGTGAGTCGCTCGAGTGAAATGCTCTCTTTTGCTTTACTGGAAGCAGAAGATGTAAATAGCAGTAATAAGAAAGCTCTATAAATTCAGCGATTTTCATATATAAATGTGTATTTTGTACAGCACAGATCAGATAAAACAATAGTTTAAAAACTCTAATTTGAAACAAAAAAGAAAGTCCAAGGCGTACCATTTGTCACTGTTATGCATTTACATTCCTAACCTTTCGCCTCTAAACAGTGAAAAAGGATAGTAGTGGACATATTGTTAGTCAAGCTAAGAATGCACAGATCCCAACAGAAGTAGGAAATTTTTCTCCCGAATTTTTTAGATATTTTCGTTCTTTCCCTAACTCTAAAATTAGGTAAATTTAACCTGAGATAGTCTACCATTTAATTATTCTTTACAAGACAGTGAACCACAAATCATTTTAAAAAAACTGGCACAGCAACGTACCTCTTTCGGCTATCATTGCTATCATTTTGACTGAAAGCTAATTTACGTGTCTCAACAATACTCATCGGTAATTTCCCAGGCGTAGCATTCTGCCGTCGACAAAATTCGTCGATATGACGATACGGACGGCGATAACCATTCAGAGCACAGCTGATACGAAGATACGATGGTACACGATTGATCACATCAAAGTTATCTTCTGGGTGAATACCGCTTGTATTCATAGACAGTGCAGTTACACTCCTTTCCATTTCCTGTGTGGAGAATGAAAAATGAAAACATGAAATAAAACAATTATGCCAGTAACAAATTCTATTACTAGTGGCTGCAAGTATTACTTTAATAGCTGAATTATTTGAACAACTGTCTTTTTTTATTTTCAAAGATGACATGAAATTTTGCTTCGTAGTTAGCGGAAAAAGTTCCCACACGCGCATTAGAAGTAATAAAGCAGAACCTAACCAATAAGTACGAAGCATAATTCTCAAAGCATTAACTTTATTACAAAGAAAAAGGATATGCGAATTTCGATATAAATTTGTATTTACATAAATTTTGCTTTAATCAGCAAACAGTATCCTAAACTGAACTGGCACAACCAGAATCAAACATCTGAAGTTGTTAAAAAATATCATGATCATTTTTGATGACTGCCAACAATACAATAAAGGCAAAAGATAGAGAGGATGAAGAGTACTTACAACAAAGTCAAATCAGCTGAAAATTACTTGGTCTTTTCGAAGGGTTATAAGACGCAGATCATTTTCTGATACGGTTGGCCTGGAGAGTACGTCTCCAGAATTGTAGGCTGTTGAGAGAGTTGAAGTTGAGAAAACCTAAAATTTTAATCTTCCAAATCACTTCTATCGTAGTATAAATTTACCTGACAGTTACAAATTAGAACGTTATTCTCATCAAATAATTTAATGTTTTGTTCGGAAAATAAATTTTAAAAAAATCTGGAGGGGGTGCTTTACACTTGAACAGGATTTTACTCATCAACTAAGTAATATTAGATAGGCATAATTAGGCTGAAAAGTGCCCATAATCTGTAATGATAGTCGCATATTCGCAAAATTAACGTAGGCTATCCTCGAGGGAAATATAAAACATCTGAAGGGAATTAAGGAAGGTTCGACAAGTAGCCGAAAGAATTACTCCATGAAAATCAAATATTTAAACAATGCCTAACTTCATAAGGCATAATTAGACTGAAAAATGATAAAATTTAAGTTGAGCTCAGCGGAAAGGACACAATTATTTAAGTGTGGAGAATATATTAAAACATAATCATTAAATTTTGTATACATTATCTGCTGGAAAGCTAGAAATGCAGAATGAATTACATTGTTAATTTCGATTTTCATCGTTAATTTCTGCTATCGCTATTATATTTGCTAAAACTCGCAGTCCACTATTTTTGCTCTACTTCTTAGTGTATCCAACAGTTTTTATTTTTTTCATGTCTTTTATTTATTTATTTTTGTTTTTTCCCATGACAAACAGCGTACAGAGCAGAAAAACAAAAGGTAAAAAAGTACCCAACTAAAACTAATCAAAACAGAACAAGAAACGATATTGGGGAAAAAAACATTATTTGCACTAGGTTTTTTTGAAAAGAAATTTCTCAGAAAAGTAAAGCATCACATCCATATTTTATTGCATATGAATATAATAAAAGGAAAAATTGCCAAAATTCTATCGCCTATTTCTAAGTAAGATCTCTGAATCTATATTTCTTTTTTTTTGCAATGATGATCATGAGGAAAAAGCATTCCTGAACTCATCTTCGAATATCCAGTGAAAAAATGTTAACTACTCCAACTCTTTCAGTAAGTCCTAATATTTTTAAACCAATAATTCAAAGAATATGAACAAGGCTGCTTATTTATACCATATAAATAAGAGTCTTATTTCAACCAAGAAAATAAACAGCTGCAGATGTGACGATTGACGTAACATGAAATAATAACAAATGTACATCACTGACATTATATTCCAAAAGGTAAATTAAAATGGAAATTATGAAAAAAACCCACAGTATCGTGGCTGCCATTGAGCTCATTCCGGCCAGGTTGGGAATAATCATGGGCGTTTCGATCGACGGAAGATGTTTCACGAGTTTTGCGGCTCATTGACAATCGATGAATGATGCGAAAAAACGGTGATGAATGTCGTTTTGCCTTCGGTGGTGACGAAATGTGCAATTCATTCTCGGCATTCAATTCGCTATTCTTAACACTTGCCCCCTACATCAAATAATATTTTGCTTTGGCGGTAACAATGCTCTGTTCTTACAAAGGAGACAAAGAAAATGAATGCAACCTAACTATAAAGGTTACTGTCTAAACTTTTTCTTTTGAAATACGAATAAATAAATACTGGAACCATATGTATTCTCAAATAAACATGCAATTCTTGACTTGACTAAATGACATGGTATGATTAAGTAATCGAGCAGTTATGTTAGTGGTAATAACAAAAGAAATTATACATTGCATTCGAAGAGAAAAAATACGACGACAGTTCAACATTCATAACATATTTATAACATATTTTTTCACAGTTATCAATCAAGTGATTAATTATCTCTCCGATCACTCCTCATTTCCCAGCTATCACTATGGTATCAGTTCATATTAACATATTGGATATTGGAATTCATATTGGAACTTATACTTTTGTAGTTTTGTCATCCCTTTAACCACAAACTGCAATTGTTTACTGCTTTTTTCAACTTCCCGCAACATTAGCTTTGGATTACTTCTTCCCCATCTCTTCTAGACCATAATGTCGTTTTGCTGGAAATCTCAGGTTTAACTACAGTAGCAGCAAGCCTTACCACCCATATATTTTTGGAAAACAATGATGTATTGGAATCATATAAATCAGATGAAATGACACTTCTTATTTTTGTTATGATTTACAAATGTACTTAAATATGATATGCTGCATGTACTCCCACTATTCTTTTGAGTGTTAATTAATACCTATGACCAATTATCACGCCCAAACATTTGAACACTTACATTTTTTATGGGAGAAGTGGGAGAACCAGGCTGAATAGGACAGGGAGCAACGGCATCATCCGACAAGTACATCTGGGGTTTTGCTGGATCTCGTGGGCTTTTGCTGCGCTGTCTTATTGAACCGATCCTCGAGAAGAAATGCCCAATCGCTGATGGTCGCATTTTAGGCTCGGCTGTATATTTTCCCATAACTACAATAAAATTCTTGTTTCATCAATACGATCACGTCATGAACCAATCAAATTCAATCAAAATTTGATTTTAGAAGTTCTTTGGATTTACTTCCGTGGACATTTTTAAAAAAAAAAAGGATGAAAATTTAATGTAGAGGAGTACAAATTTTTTCTCAAAATCTCGAGCTATTATTAATAGACTGAATGAAAAAAAATCGGACAACAAAGTGAAAAATTGAAGGTCCAACAATTTTTATTAAAATAAAGCAAAGCAACTAAGCAAAAAAAAGTGATAATGGCAATTCTAAGATTTAAATTGAAATTTGACAAAATATTTGATACCTTGTGCAGATGGCATTGACATCTTTTTTTTTCAATCAGTACCAACCAAAGGTTACAGTACGCCACGTGCGCCTTTTAAAATTTATCCTAGTGAAGTCGGAATTGCAAATTAACTTAAACAATCAAACACAATTCATTTAACTTTACCGGTATTTGCAACGAATTTTTTAGATAAAAATAAACAAAAATAACTATCCGCTTAACTACTGATTCGTATCACCGCTAAATAACCCTGCGAAATAATCGATGAAAACTGAGCAAGTTATACAATCTCAAACAACTGACAGCAGACGGTGTATTAGACATCAAAGTTACACATCTCTACAGAAATCCGCCTGTGTCTATGAATGAAACTCTTTTTCTCGCAGTTAATATCACTGATAATTGGAATGATTAAACGATCATATTATGATCAAATAATCATAACAAATGTTCATTCATATTATAAGTTTCATATGTCTTCCTTTTTTTGTTTCTCTCTCTCTCTCTCAGTCATTGTTGTAAAAATTAATAAATATTATTTCATCGTTATTCTCCATCTTTTGTACCACCATTTATTTGGTTACATATCATCCACTTCCTTTAAGTCAGGCACAATTCAATATGCCATCTTAATTGGTTTTCAAATCTTCCTAATTCCTCTATACCAATTATGTTACTGCAAAAATAGTACATACGTCAAGCAGTACACATTTATACTATCACGTATACGTATATGTAATCTATCACATATATCTTGCTTATGATTATAATATACGAGAATGATACCGTTTTTCCTAACCTGTATGTAACATCGGACATTAACCATTAAACGGTCATGAGAAATCAGCTCTTTAAAATCAGTCGAATTATTATTCTTTTATGCATTCCATTCGGACATGAAACATGGATAAAACGAGGAAATACATTCGTGAACAACGTCACCCTGCCTTTCTACAGTACCACCCATATTCTGTTATCATTCTACCGCTCATATTTACATCCACTTAATATTTTTTCTTTTTTTAATTCAAGTTACATATTGTGAAAACTTCTGAGGATAATCAGATCAGAGCTTGGTCAAAAAAGAATCGGCAATCATTTATTTCGATCCCAAGTAACTTTTGAGTGGATGCCTGAAACGATCATAATAAACTACCGTCATTTATGTTGAACCAATCCGAAACATTTCATGATAACATGAAGTTTATGTTTTAGAATGCTATCCTTAGTAGTGATAGCGACCTAGGAAATTACAGAAAACATACGTAACTTTTTGTCCTCCTTTTTTCAGCGCTAAATAAAAGCATTTTAAAGGAAAAGGACAGAAGGAATAAGGACAAAATGGATGGAAGAACAGTGTAAGTAATGGTAACTTTTAATTTCAAATAAATGAAAATAATTACAAAACACTGAAACAAACGTTCCGGAAAGAGAAAGATAAAAACCACAATAGAACGGAAACTTTTTTACAATTAACTATACAACACGTCAAACAACAACAAAGTGTACGTTAAACTATGATACAAGAAATCATTTCGTTCACTTTACAGATATACAGCAATTTGTTAAAAAGAGTCTTCTGTACAAGTACATACCCCTGAGTTGAAATGTCTACACTTGATTGCAGCTTAACATACTTTCCAATTTATTTACATTTGGAAGCGAAAAGAACAATTTCCTCTAAAATACACGCATTTCCATTTCTTTCAATATATATTTGCATGCTGTGATAACAGTCCACAGCAGAATACATTGCTTCTATTATGTAAAAGCAGCAACATAAAGTGGAAGTAAATTTTCAAAAAAAAGAAAACTAAAGAAAGCTTAGCCTGTATTAAACGAATTTATGAAAAAAAGTGAAAAGAAAAAACTCATTCTGAATGAAAGGATACATTAGCTATTTACATCATGATAATTTTGAACAATTTTTTGAAGCCAGATTTTTCTTTTTTTTCTTATTAAGATAAGCAGTTTATAAACATCATTCATAGCTGACAAGTAAGTAACACACTTGAACACTTTTGAAAAATAGACAATATTTCTAAATAAACGTTCTAAAAAAAGGATATTTATAGCCAGTGATTTTCAGACAGGAATCTTAAAAACCATTATAAAAACTAAAATACAACTGCTGAAATCATTTAAAATAATAATGAAAAAAGAAAACCGAAAAACTGAACAGTAAAATGGAAAAAGTAAACAAATAAAATAAAACTAAAATAAGAGCGAACGAAATAAACACAATATTGAAAAAGAGCAGTAAAAATTCAAAACAGCAAAATAACTGTGACAAAAAATAGCCAATTCATTCACATAAGATCATAATTAAAAAAAAAGAAAAATACGAAAAATATGAAAACTTTTGGAGCGAATCATGCGAAAAAAATGTTTGCAGAAGACCAATATGCATTTAAATTTGATAAGCTTTTTATACAATATTCTTAGAGTCCACTGATCGAACAAATTCATTTGTTTTAACTGTAAATTATTTGTTTGGCAAACAATAAATCGAGTTTGAAATCCTCTTACTATATTCACCCCGTCGAACTCTAAGTTCAAAACAGATTCATCGGTAACACATGTAATTTCGAATGCTCTGTAAAAGTATTGTGAGTTGGAAACAAATCCATCATTTCTGATGAAATAACTACTTGAAGATTGAAAAATCAGATAAATTTAATAGGTGGAAAATAATCAGAATAAAAAAAAAAAAAAATCAGATAAATTTAGAGGTGGGAAATGATCTTCCAGTCCCAATGAACCAGTGGGGTTAAGCCGCATACATATAACCATCTCGCCTTTAAACTTGCAAATTCGTCTAGGCATCAAGTATTGCTGCATTCTTTCAGGCGAAAAAATTAGTGGTTGCTAAACAAAATGCTCATTAAGAAAAACAGTACTTCGTAATAAATGTGCTTCATCTATTGCACAGGAATTTTAATTTTTTTTTAACGCAATTGCGCTACTTACCTTGCTTGGAAAGACAAAAGTGTTGATACTAATCTGGCAATAAAAGAAGGGTTTTTGGAAGAATTTCTAATAGTAAGACATATTCCGTCATGCTATAATTAACTTCGATCGGTCGCCTTACTAGTCGCCAGTGCAAGCCCAATTTGTTATACAGCGTTTGATTTTCATGATCCAATAATTTCTCTAATGCATGTACCGTCTGAAAAGAAGAGGAAAGAAAAACAGTATAGAATGTTAGGAATATTACTATATAACGGAAGATACTGTTTGAAAAAAAAGTGAAACGCTGTCTGAAATTTATTCAACGATACTTCTGCAAAGAAACTGTAGGAAAACAAGCTTTGCGAATCTGCAGACTTAAAGCTATCTCTGCCAAAACATTATTTTTTCAAAGGCAGCAAAAAGTACATTAGCACTGTTTAGTTTCTTCAGATGAAGCTGACGCAAGAACTGACTGATATGAATATATGTGAATCAAGAAAGTTATTTCACACATAAGGTTATATTAGTAACATGCATAAATCTTTATCAGCTTTTCAAAAGTAACGATGTGATGTGCAATCACGTTTTTTACTTTTTCCATCTGTACAAAAAATTAGAATGGCTCAACGTCCCAAGTCTACATTAATTCAGTAAGAATTAAATAGTAGTCAGCCTTAAGTAATTCATAAATCTTCACCAATTCATAAAATGCTTTCAAAAGCAACGTTGTTATGTATAATCACATTTTAAGCTATACTCAAACTTACGCGTTTGTTCAAACAAACAACGGGCCATAATGAGCAGCCGACGGTACAGCAGCAAAAGAGCAATCCACAAACGAGCCAACGAACGTTTCCTGACATGCTCCTTGCCAATACACTATTAATTCTCCGCATCGTATCGGCTAGCTCTTCTGGTGCTAAACGACCAGTTAATACGGTTGGAAATTCGGTATCGAATCGAGAGCTCAGACCAAACCTTAAACCATACATGC